AGACCGCCAGATAGCAGACACATCCAATGAAAGTACCATGCAAAGATATTCACCATTCAAGCAATAAACATTTTCTTTCTTATATAGTTTGTAAATATTTATAAAATAAAACTTGTAACTAAAAATCATTATAACTCAAAATCTTTTAGAAAGCTTATCTCGTACAATATTATAATATCAGAAATATATAGAGCGATAATACTATATTCCATGTTTGATATTTACCATGATACTTCCGTATTACTCAAGCCCATTCGAGCTTATCGCAATTGAAGAACTAGTAATTTTAAATGCAATTTTAAAAGAATCTATAAATCGTAAATTATTTACTCATTCATATCGATTAAGACAACCAAATGCTTTCCAATTGTTTATTTAATATACTTACATAAAGAGAGTCATAAAACGTACTACATATGATTAATTGAACAAATTGAAATATTCCCCTTTCTCTCGATAGTGAAGTGTCTTTAAAATATTTATTTGTGCTAAATAATCGAACGATACAATGAAAATAGTTCGATTCTTTTAAGTAATTAGTTTTTGCAAAAAGGTATGGATGAATATGAACAAAATGATGTTATGTCTTCTCATTATCGAAATTAATAATCATCTGACGAATTGCTAAAGTGAAAAACTATATAGTTATTTTACGTTTCATGTTGGCAGAAAACGAACGGATTCTAAAGTCACTGAATAATAAAACTGAAATGACGGAAAAAAAAGAATATTTATATATATTTTAGAGACTTTTATTTTTGTTCCTATTTGGCGAATGATGCTTCTCCATAATTTTGCTATGTGAATGTAAAGAATTTGCTACATAAAGTAGACATTTTCGATGACCAAACTATCCTGTTTTAGCCTGTGACAGTAAGCTATCTGTAACTTGCTATAGGAAAGGCTCATTCCAGTATGTTATATAATTCAATGCGTGGTTATGGTGCGCAGTTTCTTGTAGCTCGTATCTCAGCTATGATCGAGCTTCAATCTCTGTGATACTCGATTCCTAAACGATATAATAAATCGTTAGATTCCATATAAAATTTGGCGTTTCCTTATTTTTATATCTGCTCCATTTATTTAAAAATGAGTTTGATAAAAATTATATTAAGTAGTCACATCAAAAGAGATATTCGGAAATGTGATATTTGAAGAAAATGATATCAACTGATCATGTAACTTGAAGATATAATTTTTATATCAAAGATATAATTTTATTCTCCTGGTGGGGAACGTCGATATCTCTTGACGTTTTTAAGTTCGTACATCGGTCAAGTGTAGTCATCATGCGTAACGTCAACGTCGTCAACTCGATGACGGGGTGATGAGACTGACAAGTGCATTAGTGCGACAGAAAGATGCCGTCGTTGAAAATTTTTCGCATTGAATTTGATCGCGCGGATGCTGTTTACATACCCGGCGAATGTGTCAGCGGCTTCGTTATTATCGATCTGGCAAAGGAAAAACTTGCCGAAGGTAAATTATTTAATTAGTTTTTTTAAAAATATATCGATCAAATAAAGTCATCGCAAAATTTGCAAATATCCATGCTCTACGAAATCACAATAGAATTGTTTTGCATCAGGTGCACTTTTCTATTTTTCTTTTTTCTCCAATTTCAAGATAAATTTACATAAAAATGTTTTTATACGAAAAAAAAGGTAGTTGTCTCGCGACAATATGATCCAAAATTTTATACTCTAAGTAAACGCGAAAACTTTTGAAGAGTTCTGTCCTTCCCAGAACAAGTATCTATACAGATTATATCTGTATACGTGCCAGAAACCAGTCTCGGTAACATGTGAAATGAATGGCTTCGAAGCCGCACACAATTAAGTGCGTGCCGTGTACGTGTAGCATTTTCAGCTTTTGCCGATTGTAACACAATTTACATAAATCCAAATTCGAAACTTTAGAAATACCGCAATTTGTATTTGAAGACTTCTGTTATCTGAACGGATGTAGAGATTATCAACTCACGGATTATCAGTGATAACAATGTAATGAATATGTTTGCAGAATATATCAATCCTGGAATAGGATGATTTAATTACTCATCCAGAGTGATGAGATCATTCTTGTGATAACTTTTAAAATGTGAAATATCTTTTTCTGATATCGTTTATATGTACGACATAATAATAATAATAATAATAATAATAACATTATTACCATGCATTTTTTAAATTATATAATTTATAATTATATAATAATAGGAAATAATCAAAATTTCATGAAACCTTTACAGTCTACATTTTTAAAATACATAGTTTAAACGTAAATATATGAATATGCTTGAACTAACAGCAAGATTTATATAAAGTCCATCATATTGGAAATAAATTGCAAACAAATTACATATATTCAAATGATTCCAATTGACGTATTATAACTACTTGTATCTATTATACATATATTTTTTATATTACAAAGAGTATGGCTTTCTTAATTCTTCATTTAGTACGTAAAACTTTAAAATGATCATTAATCTTTGCTGTTGCAGAACTAAAATTATCGGCTAAGGGAGAGGCTAACGTCAGTTGGGATGAGGAATCGAGTTCGACAGATTGTAATGGAAATTCTACAACTACCACTTGGACTTATAGGGCAAATGAAAAATATTTTGAATTGACCATTTCACTGTTAGAAAAATCGGAAGGTATCGTCTATTAAAAAATCATATATCATGACAATCAAAAAGTTTATTAAAATATGTTATTATATTATTATAGTATAATATAATATAAGAATATATTACATACTTGCGCTAATGCTTGATTATTTTCTTTGGAAAATAAATATTTCTTTAATGGAAATTAGAGTAACACAAATTAGAGTCCTAAAGCATATTCATTTAAGTGTAAAATGGCTAAGATAGATACATTTTGCTATAATCCACGTAGAAAGGATATAGTTATTTGTGTAACAAGTGCTGTAAGATGAAAATTCACGGGTGCGGAGTTGATGCACGAGCCGAAGGCGAGTGCGGTCACCGCACCCGGGAATTTTCATCTTTACGCACGGCTTGCACACACCCTATTTTATGTTGCAAGTGCGTGGAAAGTGGTCTATCACGCACGCGTAGCGTGCACGTCCATGCACGTGTTACATAAAATTATATTTAGAGGCTATACATATCAGTTTTTATTAATTTCAGACGATGGAAAAGTGCATATTCCTGCAGGATTGAGTAGATATCCTTTTTGTATCCAATTACCCTGCGATTTACCATGCAGCTTTGAACACCATGTTGGTCATGTCAGATACACGATAAAGGCGGTCATTGTTAGATCATGGCGATTCAATCACGAATGTAAAGCTGCATACACCGTAATTACAATTTACGACCTAAACATTCGTCGTGAACAATGTGTAAGTAAAATCGATATTTTAAATTCATATTATGATTTTATTACCTTCATATTCGGAAACCAGAATATACAAAAAAATAGCTATTTTATAGTCTCATTCAAACAATTGTATTGAAAATTAATAATGGATTATTTATATTAGATCGGCATAGATGATGAAGTAAACCAATCTTTCTCTTGCCTCTGCTGCGTCAGCGATGGTTCGATAAATGTGCATATTAAATTACCGATGACAGGATTCGTACCGGGACAATGGATTGAGGCAATCCTCGATTTAAGACATAACGCCACTATTACCGAATTACAGAAAATCTGCGTTAAATTACAGCAAGTAGGTTTGTAAATAATTTATGTAAATATATAATATCTATTACTCTGGAAAATAAATATCGGAGCGCAAATCGAATATAAGAGGAGAGTGACAGAAACATAAATGAAACTTCTTTGAAGCATAAATTGAAACTGCTGAACGTAAAAGAAGCATTTTAAAAGATAAACGTCTCTGTCATTCTTTTCCTTTATGCTTAACTTACGCTTTAATCTTTATTTTCGCCGAAGATATCTGAATCAACAGATTGGCCAAAATATAAATTTTATTCTATTTTACAATAATTATCAAATTTTAATTTCTTCTTATAAAGTCCGTTGAGTTCCGCGCGGATGCGCCCTTTGGTAAGAAAAAGAAGGATAAAGCAACTGTGGCAACTGTGCAAAAAACAACACCATTCGATAAACACGCTATCGCATTACGTTTATTTATTCCACCGATACCACCTTCGGACCTGCAATTTTGCGATATAATTGATCTAAAATATATCCTCCGTATCGTCCTTCATAGTAAAAAAATGTACGTACATATCTCTCCAAAGCTCAGTAATAAACTAAATATATTGTAACTTTATACGATAATATTTTACGCGCTTGATGATCATTCAGTAACAATAGGATGACTTTGCATCAATTCTTTTCACTATAAGGTATCGTAAGATCGTCAAAGAGTATCCGATTTTAATTGGAACAATACCGCTGCGGTTTATACCATCGGCGCCTGCAGCTTCATCTTCTTCAGATGTATTTCCATCTACATCGAAGAGAGAAGACGTGACTCCAGAATCTAATATTGTACCTTCTCCAAGTACACCATCGCTGAACGATTTTGTTGATAGTACGTAAAATACTCAATTGACAGATTCCACCGAACAATCTTTATCATATAGATAGTAATATTTGTTTTTTCCTTTTTAAATAATTTGTAAACGTAAAACATTTCTATATTTTATTTTATTGATGAGAATACTGTTCTGTTTTAGAATAATTTAAGAAATATTTCTTTACACATTTGAATCGTAATCATAAGATTATCTTACGCACACACCACTATTAAAATTTCAAAATCTAATTCTTCGTTCGCGAAAATTATTACGAGACTTTGATCCAAACCTAAGAACTTGTCAAGGTAGATATACAGATTAGATTCTTTTATATATAGCTCCTCCATCATATGAAGAATCCTTGTCGCACAGAGTGTCTTGCATCAGAGATCCGAAGGACTCTATATACGTGCATGGTGTTAACGAACCCTTTGCACCTAAATATCCAGTCTTCAAATATTTCGAGTAAGATGACTAAGGTAATTATACTAATTAAGTCTTATATAATTTCTATCGGCATGTATTTATCAATACTTTACTTGCAGATCCTCCTGAGAATGGAAGGTCGTCTAAGCTGAAAACATCGAATAAAAAATGATTACTATCGTTTTTAATTATTTCTAATTTAAACCGTTGATTTGTAATCGAGAAAAAGAAACATTCTGAAAAATAAAAACTGCAAAAACTGAAAAAAATTCTCATAATTTATCAATTTTTATTTTTCGTAGAGAACGTATTTCTGTATATATCGTATGAGAAGTGGTACGGTTCTAAGAAGAAATCGATTTTTGTAGTAAAGTAAAGTTTAAAAGTAATAAAACAGTGAATTCTCTATAATAATAGTAAAATACTTGATTATAGAGGAAAAACACGGTGTTTGTAAAATCAATTGTTTTATCTCTGACTCGACAATGTTTCCTGACTTTCTTCCTAGACTTTTCCGAGCGTCCTGATTGTTCGGGAGGGAAAAGGAACTGTGCGCTCCGACTTTACAAAAATTTAATATTATTATTATATTTGTTATATGTATAAAATAATTAGTCACATAAAATAGAAGAAAGAAAATAAAACGAATATTATAATTTCTTCACTGTGCAAATTTCGCTAAATTTATATATTTAGAAAATAACATATAAAAATTTAATATATTAAAAAAAAATTAGGAAAAATATTCTAACAACTTTGCTTTGTTTTAATTTGTTGAAAAGAAAAGTATAATTTATGTGAAACAACTTAAATAAGTAAAGTTAAAATTAAAAAAATTATTAATGTTACTTAGAAACATATTGTCTTCTTCATTTGATTCAAGTATCATTCGAGTTTATGAAAAGCTAGTAGCGT